GGGGGGGGGATGTGGGGAGTGCAGGGCAGAGGGCTGGGTGTTGAGGGGAGGTGCAGGGCAGAAGGCTGAGTGTATGTTGGGGTGGGGGGTTCAGGACAGAGGGATGGGGTGTAGGGGGGTGCAGGGCAGAGGGATGGGGTGCTCGGCTCATGGGGGTGCTCGCAGCCCCCTGCCCTGAGCGGCTCAGGGCAGGGGGCTGGGAGGGATATGCCCTGTTCCACCCCCTTCCCCCAGGCTCCCTTCCTACCTCTCTCTGCCTGCTCGACGGAGCAGCGAGCACGCTGCCACTCGGCTCTGCTCCGCTTCCCCTCCCCCTCCCAAGGGCCGTCCCGGCAGGGAGAGGGGGGAGGAGGAGGGGCCAGAATGCACCACGTTGTGGGAAGAAACGGGGGGGGAGCTTGGCTGCCGCAGGACCAAGCTTCTGCCTCCTGCCCCCCCGCAGGGGAGAGCGGTGGGCGGGGGGGCTGAGTGGGGCGGGGGGCTGGGACTTCCCTCGTCCCCCTTCTTCCCCCAGCTTGGTGCATTCCGGCCCCTCCACCCCTCCTCCTCCTCTCACCGGGCAGGCAGCGTGCCACTCAGAATCGGCTCGCCTGCCGCGTTTGGCACGCGTGCCGTAGGTTGCCGACCCCTGAAGTAAAGCAAAACAGAAGCGTGTTGGCACTTCTGCAGCGTCTCCCCAAGAGCTTCCACGGTTGGCATATAAACAACATTTTCTCTCCTCCCCAGCACACAAGGGCCTTCCATGTTTCTGCTCCTTTGTGCGTCTGGCTGCCTAGGACAATGGCAACGAACCGCCAGGCGTAACAGACTGGCACAACAGCTCATTTTCCCACTGAAGCAGCATCCCAGCAGAAGCACCTTGAAGTTATCAGGTAAAAGGTTGTGGATCATCAGCTGATGCAGAGACTTCATTGCTAACTGCCTGTGTTGTATTGCTGCATGCAGCGCAAGGACCAGGCTCTGATATCATGACTTCTGTGCCTGGCCTCTCCCATCCCCCCAGTCTTGCACTTGCAGTGGAGCCCAGTGAACTGAAATCTGCTCTCAATTGCTAGAGACAGATTCCATCCAGCTGCACTATCACAGGGTCGTTCTAACACAGGAAGACACGGGGGGGTGGGGTGGGGTGGGGTGGGGTGGGGGGAGGAGAAGTAACAATTGGAGTGGGAGCCATGGAGAAAGATCAGAGTGAGCCAGCACTTCATGGCTCCATTAATTATTGATTAAATTAACAAAAATCATGTTTTAAGCTTAACCCATTTTTCTTGGACAAAAGCTCTCTCAACGTGAACTGCACTGAGACTGCAGACGGGAAGCTACACATTCGAATAGGAAGGTGTAGAAGCTTCCTTACTGATTCCAGCAAGAGTAAGAACTGGACACAGCCACAAAGACTCTCAAAAAATTCAGCAAGAAAGCAGAGTCCATGCTGGAGACTGACAATCCAGAAGAGGAGGAAACCTGATGCCTCATGCTGATTTTAATGCAAGGTAGAAAAGCCCAGGCTTCTCTGATTAGGTTGGCACATATTTTACTAGGGAGTAGGGGCCAAGGAGTATACAGACAGACAATGTAGGGGAATGAAAGACCACACACCATATATACTTTGCTAATTGTATCAGAGGTTTCTTGCTTACCCTTGACTTCCAACCCTCTGCTCCCAGTGCCTGACCACCTCACCTCCTCTCGCTCACTCTCCCAACTCCAGCTCCTTTTCCTTAGCATAAAAACTTGCACTAGGATCCTCACTTCTCAAAAGGCCAGTCCTTAACCCCAACTGCCTCTCCAACTACCGGCATCTTTCTTTTCCACTGCACCTCCTGAACAAACTGTTTATAGTCACTGCCTTGATTTCCTCTCCTCCAGTCCATGTAGATCCCCTATAGTGCAGCCTGTGCACTTCCCCACTCCATTGGATAAGCTCTCTCTAGCTCTCCAGTTACTTCTTGGCCAAGTCAAAGAACTGTCTTCACCCACCCCGAGCTTTCTGCTGCTTCTGAGAGTGTCAATCACTTTCTCCTTCCTGGATTTTTACCGACGTGGCCTCTCCATTTTCTGGCTGCATCCGAGGGCTCTTTCAGCATCTCCTGTAGCAACTTCTTCTCTTCCTTGCCTTCACTGTTGGGAGTCCCTCAGGGCTCTGTCCTCAGTCCCCTCTTCTCCCTGAGTGACTTCATTGGCTCGCAGCTTCAGCTACCACTTCTACGCTACCACTCAAACATGCTCCCTCACTCCTGTCAACTTCCCTCTGTCCCTTACACACTATCTAAAGGTCTTTCCAAAGCATCGTCCTGGATGCACTTCTGCCACCACCAAAACCCAGTGGAGCTACTTCCAAAACATTTGCCACTTCCTGTTATCAGTAACCTTTATCTACACTCAGGCTCACAAGCACAAGGCCATTTTAGACTTCTCCCCCTTCCTCCCCTATACATCCAAGATAGCACTAAATATCACTACATCTTGCCCCTTATTCCATTTCATAAACAGTTAAAAAAAAAAATCGGACCATTCCTTTCTGTCCTGTCGTCATTGCCTGCCTTGGCTTTCGTAACCGCCTCCTCTCTGGCCTCCCTCAGCACCAACATCTTTCTTCTCAAGTCTGCTTAAAACTCAACAAAACTTTAAACTTGTCCTTTCCTCCAAAGCCCCGTGCAATGTTGCCCCGAGCAAGTCTCAGATTTTCTCACCCATGTCTCCTTCTGACTCTGCCAAGTACTCCAGTCACACCACCCAATTTGTTTTCTTCTATTCCAGAACCCTTGCTTTCCTCCTGGCTGCCCCATATGCATGGAACGATCTCTTGGTCTGTGTGCTAGTCCCCACCCCTTCCCAAAGACCTGCTGCTTTCATAAAGCCCACAAACTAACTCCTTCTCAAATGCTTTCTACATCCCATATTTAATGGGCAGTAGACATCTGAATGGGTTTTAAAAATCATTTTGAGATACCACCTCCCCCAAATCGCTCAGTGTATCTTCTCTCTTACGCCTGTCTTTTGGATAAAAAGCTTCTGGGGTAGGGACTAGCTATATATTTGAGTCTTATACAGTTGCAAAGATATGGTCAGTACATAAACATTAACTCATAACCAAGTAGTTGGTTACTCGTTTTTTTTCTTGATTGAATTTGCTGCAATATGGCATGTGGCTATTGACAAAAGGAAGCGCTAATCCAGGTTTCTGAGGTTTCCTCTTAAACTCAATACTTGAGTTAAATTATACAAAAATAGTGAAGAGAAAATAGCTAATTTTAACAGTACATACCAAGTCTGTAAAGTTGGGTGTAAATTTACAGATGACATACACTGGGTGCAACTCAGGAAGTCAGACACTGAGATGGCATGTGGATAAATACTGAAAAATTCTCACTACTAAATAATGATTCATAAAATGATCATAGAATCATAGACTATCAGGGTTGGAAGGGACCTCAGGAGGTCATCTAGTCCAACCCCCTGCTCAAAGCAGGACCAATCCCCAACTAAATCATCCCAGCCAGGGCTTTGTCAAGCCGGACCTTAAAAACCTCAACCCTGTAATGAAACTCAGTGTAACACTGATCATGTGTGAGTACTGAGAGACAGTTTAACAAGGAAGTTCTTTAAGTTCCTGTCCAGAGTTCAACCATAAACCAATGGAGAGAGATTACAACTAGCCATGTATTCTGTTTCCTTTTTTAAGTTACCAATATAAAATAAAGAGCGGTTTAACATTTGTACTAACGGCGAAAGCAGTTTCAGAAGTTCTGCATTTCACAGTTGTCCTGGTCCACAAAATATTAGGGTCATAAGTAAATAGGAATTGCCACACCGGCTCAGACCAATAATCCCATCGCTGACAGGACAGCATGCATCACAGGAAGGTGCAAGAAACCTCACGGTGGGCAATTCTGGAATAACGTGCTCATTCAGAAATGTTTTTCAAACCACTTCAGTTAGAAGTTGAAGCATTAAAGGGTTTATATTGCTTCCAAGCTATGTTTTCAAAACATAATTTCTATGTAGTAACTGGAAGTTATTAGTTGCTTTATTCTTCTAAGAAAACATACAAGATTACCTGGAAGACCAGATTTAAGGTTAGCAAGGTCAGCAAAGGGGTCGAAGGTCTGAGATTTTGGTTGGCTGAAAGACAAACCTGAAGGCACACTTGTCTGGCTTCCTGTAGTAAGAGCTTGGCCTGTGTCATAAAAACAAATATGAAGTTATGTCCAGGGCACAGATGGCAGGGGATGAAAATATCCACTTAAAATAAAAAAAAAAAAAAAAAAAAAAAGATGTTGACAGAAACTGTCTCCCTGATTCACAGCAAATTGCTATCAATATTTTCTAGGTAGATTCTTGTCGAAGGCCTCTCCTCCAAAATTCTTGTCAGGGCCACCCAGAGGATTCAGGGGGCCAGGGGCAAAGCAATTTTGGGGGCCCCTTTCATAAAAAAAAAGTTGCAATACCATAGTAACATGCATTTGGAAATGTAAAAAATAACCAGTGAAATACATTCAAAAATTAATTTTTAATAATTTGAAAAATACACAAAATACATTATTTAAAAACATTAAATGCTTTAATGGTATGTATACATCTGCAATTACATAATGGGCTGTTGCTGGGTGATGGTTGGTGCCAATGGGCTGTCGCTGCCTGGGGGTGGTGCTGCTGTTGCCCAGGGCTGGGTGGGGAGCTGGGCTCTGGGTCTGGGGGTGCCCAGCTCACAGGGGCTGGGGGTCAGGGCTGTGGGGCGATGGGGTTGGGGGTGCCCGGCTCAGAGGGGCTGGGCTCGGAGCTGGGGGTCAGGGCTGTGGGGGGAGTGGGGTCAGGGGGGTGTCCGGATATGAGGGGCTGGGCTCGGAGCTGGGGGTCAGGGCTGTGGAGGGATGGGGTCGGTGGGGTGTCCAGTTCAGAGGGGCTTACCATGCTGCTTACTCCCACCTCCCCCCTCTCCCGGATCCTCAGTGCGCCGCGTCCAGGAGAGCCCCTGGACAGTGCTGCAGTGGCGTGGCTCCACAGGACCTGAGCTCCCGCCGCTCGGAGCCCTGCCCCCTTACCACGCAGCTCTGAGCGGGAGGAGCTCAGGCGACGCCGCTGCAGTGCTGTCCAGGGCCGCTCCTGGACGCAGCGCGCTGAGGCGCTGGGGGATGGGGGAAGGCGGAGGGGCAGCCTCCGACATTCTCATGGGGGCCCTGCGGGGCCTGGGGCAAATTACCCCATTTGCCCCCTCCTCTGGGCAGCCCTGATGCTTGTTATATGTTACACTGTTAGCTTTTACCATGTCTATAACTGTCAGTACGTTAAAGCCGAGTACTTTAATGAGACTGTATTAAATGAACCACATGAGAGTCGCATATGGTTGTTCCGTTGTTTTGGGTGGCTGAGATGCACGCATTTTCTTTAGCAATAGAAATACACAGTATATTTTTGTTGCATAATACCTTCAAGTGCAGGCTTCTTCGGCTGTTGTGATGCTAAGTTGGTTGTAGCTGGGGAATCTGCCCAAGAATCCCATCCGCTTAAAAGATCTGGGTGGCTTGCGGAGGAAGTCATTTTAGGTAGGTCTGGCGCCAAATTTCCTAGAAAAAAATTGCAGAAAATTGTCAGTAACAAACCCACAGTGGTAATTGCACTTTTTGGCAAGAGAACTCAGGACTGCTATCTAGATTCCCAGCTGGGTCACTATTTGGCCTGTTTACATTCCCTATATTAGTACCAATTATTAAAATTATATAGTGTTGCTATGTGTTCTTGCACATCTGCTGCGTTCCTAGAAGGGTTCTGCCACTGGGGTGCTTGAGACGTAGCTTTGATTTCTATTTTCAAACTTTGCTGAGCAGGCCAAAATAAAGGTACCTTCATTCACAGCCGCTGCTGTTAAATTAACACTTTAGCTCTTCCAGACTAAGGGATCATGCAAGGGTCACTGCTTCAGGGTCCTCATCTGGTTTTGTACAATAGAGCAGGTGGCTCCAAACCAGCAGCACTTTAGGAATGGCGCTCCATGCCACTCAATAGCCCAGGAACTACCAAGCTGGACTGAGGGACATTTGCTCTCCTAAAATGGATTTACATGGGCTACGGGTAGTGCCAGTGGAGCTCCATGTGGGGCAAAGGTTTGTTCATGGGCTCAATACCATAATGACCACATAGACAGCTGAAGAGCAGGGCACAGCAAGGTATCTTCTGCTCCATCTTGGGAAAATAATTTTAGGGACAAGTGAATCTTTTGCTCCAGGAAGAAAAGGTGGAGAGTGAACCTTCAGGCCCTTCCCTCCGTGCATGCAGCAAAAGAAGAATCTGTCCTGATTCAAAATGCAGAATGAAATGAGAACAAAGTTAGACTGAAAAGGGTTTGAGGGGAACGTCCCATTGACTCAATGGAGAGGGGTAACTAGTGGTGTTCCCCAAGGGTCAGTCCTCGGACCAATCCTATTCAACTTATTTATAAATGATCTGGAGAAAGGGGTAAACAGTGAGGTGGCAAAGTTTGCAGATGATACTAAACTGCTCAAGATAGTTAAGACCAAAGCAGACTGTGATGAACTTCAAAAAGATCTCACAAAACTAAGTGATTGGGCAACAAAATGGCAAATGAAATTTAATGTGGATAAATGTAAAGTAATGCACATTGGAAAAAATAACCCCAACTATACATACAATATGATGGGGGCTAATTTAGCTACAACAAGTCAGGAAAAAGATCTTGGAGTCATCATGGATAGTTCTCTGAAGATGTCCGCGCAGTGTGCAGAGGCAGTCAAAAAAGCAAACAGGATGTTAGGGATCATTAAAAAGGGGATAGAGAATAAGACTGAGAATATATTATTGCCCTTATATAAATCGATGGTACACCCACATCTCGAATACTGCGTACAGATGTGGTCTCCTCATCTAAAAAAAGATATACTGGCACTAAAAAGGGTTCAGAAAAGGGCAACTAAAATGATTAGGGGTTTGGAACGGGTCCCATATGAGGAGAGATTAAAGAGGCTAGGACTCTTCAGCTCGGAAAAGAGGAGACTAAAGGGGGATAAGATAGAGGTATATAAAATCATGAGTGATGTGGATAAGGAAAAGTTATTTACTTATTCCCATAATACAAGAACTAGGGGTCACCAAATAAAATTAATAGGCAGCAGGTTTAAAACAAATAAAAGGAAGTTCTTCTTCACACAACACACAGTCAACTTGTGGAACTCCTTGCCTGAGGAGGTTGTGAAGGCTAGGACTATAACAGCGTTTAAAAGAGAACTGGATAAATTCATGGAGGTTAAGTCCATTAATGGCTATTAGCCAGGATGGGCAAGGATGGTGTCCCTAGCCTCTGTTTGTCAGAAGCTGGGAAATGGGCAACTGGGGATGGATCCGTTGATGATTACCTGTTCGGTTCATTCCCTCAGAAGCACCTGGCATTGGCCACTGTCGGAAGACAGATACTGGGCTAGATGGACCTTTGGTCTGACCCGGTACGGCCATTCTTATGACTGCCATTACTGGTGTCCCAGCTAGAGTATTAACTTAGAGCTGCTTCCTTCTTCTCCACCTCAGCAATTTGTGCATTTCACTGATGGAATAAGCAACTCATATACATGATGCAAAATATTTGGTGCCCTTTCAGAGTCCGAAGTGCTAGATATGTTGGCATTTATTAATAAATAACATTTAGTGCCTCATGTTAGCTTTGAGTGTTCCCTCCAACAGTTTGCTGAGAAACTAACATACAGGAATACACCTCTACCCAGATATAACGCTGTCCTTGGGAGCCAAAAAAAAAAATCTCACTGCGTTATAGGTGAAACTGCGTCATATCGAACTTGCTTTGATTCGCCGGAGTGCGCAGCCCCGCCCCGCCCCCCCGGAGTGCTGCTTTACCCGTTATATCCGAATTCATATTATATTGGGGTAGAGGTATAATACACAATTTTGCAACACATTTGTGCTCTCTCTTTTCTTGACTGCTAGGGCAATGGGTGACCAGAGATACAGACTGCAACTGAAAAGTGCTTTGGTGAAACTGGCATATAGTTTAGCATCAACCCAGGACAGCTACCAGAACCAGGCACTGTAACCCAATCACCACGACTCAGGAAAACATTGAGAGAATTGGAAAAATCATAGTCTTCCAACTCCAAAGAGCCTCACTTTTTGGAGGCTGAGAAAAGACAGCACCATCACCCAGTGTGTGTGGAATACTCTGAAAATCTGGTTTAACAGAATATAATCTGAAGCTCCGTATTTGCTAGGTCTCCTTTTTCTAGCCCCTTATGTTCAAATTGTTTAATTAAAAAAATTAAGTCTGTGGCACTTATGGTTGCAAAGAAATCCTTTAAAATAGGAATTATGTGTAACCGACTTGTTCATCTAAATAGAATGTTAACTCTGGATCCTAATGAGGACACCTTAAAATGTCAGCACTGAAGTATCATACCATATATTCAATCTTAGCTACCTCACCACTGATCATTTTAGCAGATTCCTCAAGCCAAAGTACTTCTCTGTTGCTGCATGTAACAGAAGACATCTCATAGACTCATAGACTTAAAGGTCAGAAGGGACCATTATGGTCATCTAGTCTGACCTCCCGCATGATGCAGGCCACAAAAGCTGACCCACCCACTTTCCCTTAACTCAGCTGTTGAAGTCTCCAGATCGTGATTTAAAGACTTCAAGTCGCAGAGAATCCTCCAGCTTGCGACCCCTGCCCAATGCTGCGGAGGAAGGCGAAAAACCTCCAGGGCCTCTGCCAATCTACCCTGGAGGAAAATTCCTTCCCGACCCCAAATATGGCGATCAGTAGAACCCCGAGCATACAGGCAAGATTCTCTAGCCAGACCCACATTTTACCAGCGATGGCACTTTATTACCTAATTGACTAAAATCACGTTATCCCATTAAACCATTCCCTCCATAAATTTATCTAGCCTAATCTTGAAGCCAGAGAGGTCTTTCGCCCCCACCGTTTCCCTCAGAAGGCTGTTCCAAAATTTCACCCCTCTGACGGTTAGAAACCTTCGTCTAATTTCAAGCCTAAACTTCCCCACGGCCAGTTTATATCCATTCGTTCTCGTGTCCACATTAGTACTGAGCTGAAATAATTCCTCTCCCTCCCTGGTATTTAAAATCATCGGGATAGAGGACAGCTAGTTTCTGATAAAGGTTACAAGAGGCAAGTGAGCTAGGGCATAATATAGCTCCTAAGTGAATAGCCATCCTCTCTCTGAAGACATTGAAACTACTTGTTCAAACTAGTCCCTCCAACAGGTTATTCCAAGTTGCAAATAACAGCAGGAGACACTCAAGCCTACACTTGTTTAACTTCTAATTATGATCAACTGTTATAGCTCTTCCCTACAATCTAATGAGGTCTGGTGATTATTTACTGCCCATGAAACTTACTCATTCCTTTATTATTGAATTATACGCACCCTCACTGCTCCGACACGGAGTTCACTCCATCTCATTACAGTGGATTATTTTAATGAACATGGACAATACTACTAATTCACTTTTTAATGAGTTTAAAATTGCTTCTCGATTCAAATGACCCTAGCTGTGCTTGTGTTTTGCTCTACAAGTCCGTGGTAGCGCTCTGGACATGGTCTCTCGCTAAAGAAGTTGCTCTCCTTTGCACTTGCATTTCAGGTCACTGTACACCAGTCTGTGCTTCTTTTCACTCAGTGGGTTTTGCCTCTTACTATACAACACTCCCTTAAGTTAACAGCACTCTATTATCTTCGCATTCTCTAAATTTCCTATTAAAATAAATGCATAAACCTGACCACCGGGGGGGAGCCCAGAAATCCACGTCAGACACTGTACTGAAGCGTTTTCATTCTGGAGGTAAATCAGAGAGATCCCTAACAGCAACCTACCCTCCCCCATTTCTGCTGGGTTTTATGGAGCCTGTTTGCTGCCAAAGGAAATCTGATGACAAATGCTGAACAATCTCATTAGGGAATCACTGAAGAGGAGAAAAATGGGCTTTTCTGTCTCTGAAAGGACACAAATATTTAGTGCCCTTTTAGAGTCAGAAGTGCTTGATACGTTGGAATTTATTAGTAAATAATATTTAGCGCCTCATGTTAGCTTTAAGCATTCTCTCCAACAGTTTGCTGAGAAACTAAAACAGGAATAATACACAATTTTGCAATGCATTTGTGCTCTCTCTTTTCTTGACTGCTAGGGCAATGGGTGACCAGAGATACAGACTGAAAGGAGGGATTAGAATTGTTCTCTCTTCATGTGACACACAAGCTTGCAATTGTAGAGATCCATTTCCTGGTTCGGGGGGGGGGGGGGGGGGAGGGAGCACCTGAAACCTGAGGATATTTCTGTTTCAGTGAATGAGGATTTTAGAGCATGCCATGCTCTTCACCATGGCGACAAGCACCATCCTTGCTGCCAGCCAGCCTTTAAGAAGCTCTCCAGTGACATGAGGTTTAAGAAAACACTAGTCAGTCCTGGGGAGGAGGGGGCATAGCAGAGTCTTTTTCATAATTTAACCAAGGCGTACTTACCTGGGCTGTACTGTAACCATTATCCATAACAGCCACAAAAGAAGAATACAAAAATCCAA